ACCTTTCCCTAAGAAGGAAAGCTCATAGCCCGGGACAACGACAGGGACAGAAAAGGGGCAGAAAAGGCTGGAACCAAAATAATAATTCATAAAATAGTCTCAGGGTTTTATTTCTTTGAGATTTCATTCTAGGTGAAGTCTAGCTTCTCTTCTTGCCTTGGCAATCAGAAAGGAGAGAACATAGTTTGAGACTAACATATGTTTTACAGAGAAAATTGGCTTAACTCCATGACATTTCATGAAGGTAGCAATAGTGTGGCTGTCCGCAGAGAACTGTAGTCAACTTCCCAAACCAAGCATGCACACACAGAGTAAGTTACGGGCAATAAAGATTGCAGAACAACACTCCAGATAGAGGCATTTTATCTGCTGCATGATTTCTTTCACTCTAACATGAACAGGACAGTTAAATACCACCAATTCACAATGCACAGTCCAGTAAATAGTTTTACAAGACAAAGCTCTCATGTCTGGCTTATATTTACCATTGACCACTGTTATTCTTCCCTTCCATATGCCAGATATGTTATAGTCTAGCAGTTCTTGTCCTCTTATTATTCTTGTTACCTACTTATGGAAACATTTTGATCAGTATAACCCCTTTGCTGCATGTAAATGAGGAAAATATTTTCAGAAGGCATGGATGTTGTTGTTCAGAGGACCAAGGTAGCATACCGATCGTCTCAGCAATGCGTTAAAGCAACTCTTTGACTCACTGTGGGACAGCTTATTTCTGGATGAGTCAACCAGTTAGTGCCTGTGACCGTGCCAGAGTTTGGCACGTAAGAGTCAGCACAGAGCTATATGGGTGCACTCACTCCTCAGCCATCGGCATTGGTAACTGCGGTCAGTGCGTCATTCAGTCTCCTTACTATAATGCATTGTAGGTTTAAATATCTTCCACTTGTTGGTAGTGTCAGGAGGTGTATGAAGCTGGGTTGGAGGCTTTTGTTTAGCTTTTTCCATCTACCATGTCCCCATCCCCCAAGCCAGAACTACTCCTACTTTAATTGGGATATCTCTGCTTTTAATACAAGTTACTAAGTTAGAAGGCAGAAGTATATATCATCACAGTGGTTTTTTATCATAAAACTTTCATGTTGCTTATGTACTTACTTAAAATACATGTTTTTCTACTTTTCTACAAGGCTTTTATTTAAGCTCAGAAACATGTTTGTATATTTTGATTCAGTAGCATAATTGATCAAACCTCAGGAAGCATTAAGAGAAAATTGCATGACAGTCTTTCATATCTGTATATGTTGGTTATTAAAGCAGCGTAAACAGAGAGAGAATTAGACTTATACCACTGTGACCCCTTTTGTATGTTATGTAAAAACCCCATTAAGCAGATTTCTTACTTACTCCACTGTTGCATGCAATTAAACAAAATAAGCGTTCATCATCATTATGACACCTCTTGTGTTCTTCCACCATTAGTTATTATTTTCAAAAGTATTCTTTAACCACAAAGCAAACCTGGTCTTAAAATAGCAGGAATATAGGCTGAGAAATACACTCTGCCATGGGTTCAGGAGTAATCCTACAAGCTGCTCTGTCTGTCCTAGCAATTTTCAATTCCAAAGTAACTCTATTAAGAGGCAATGTGGTGTAGGAAATTCATCACGGAAGTGGAATCCAACAGCTCAGCAGTGCTAATCCTGCCTGGTTGTTGCACCCTCTCTTCTCATTCTTTGCCATTGCCCAGCCCCGGTGAAGGCAACAGGAGCTCCACGTGCATCCAGAAGGCAACATGCAGGCAAATATGTGTGGCTCTGTGCGAAGTTGCACTCTCAATTTCTGTGTTTGTAAAACTGAGATATGATGTTACCAACTTCAAAGGGTTGTTGGGCAAATTAATTAGTCAGTGTGTGTACAGCACCTTGAAAATACAAAATTAACTCTTATTAACCCATAAGTACTTGAGATGCATCAAGGTGTGTTTCATGGCCTCTCAATTCCAGACAAAGGTCCTCTTGATTAAATTAGATTGCTAACATATTAACACGATAGCACACTTGAAGAAAGAGAAGTTTGGGAAAGCAATTTGGCTTCATCACATGAGCAGCGTGTATACTTAATGGAAATTTTTCCAGCATTCACAAAACAAAGCAAAATCAATAAAATGTCTGCCAACTGTTCCACTGAAAACATTTTATAATCTATAGCGCCGAGAATCCTGAGCCAAGATAAACCAGCACTGCTGACAGAAAATACTGACAATTATTTTACATTGATTCAACTTGGCCCTGCCCAGACTGACCTTGTTTATTCATCTCAGTCTCTTAATTCATATTAACTTGGCATCAAAATGGGACATGTGGCATGTGAGCTGAAGACCCATTTTTGAATCTTAGACTGAGATAAATGTGGGGCATTGAGTACTTCCAGTGCCTTGAGCTCTTAGGTAGATTTATATGCATTAGACAGAACTGGTTAAGTTCCTTTTATCCCCACTGGGCTTTTCATGTCTGTTGACTGTGAAACTATGAGCTCGGTAGAGGTAACATCTTCTTCTAAGCCTTCGGATATACATGAAATCCTCCCAGTACTGGTCAATTTTAAAGACACATCCAAAGAGGATGGAGGGGTTTAAGCTCTTTTAAAACATAAAAATAGAAGGGTTATGGCAACTTGGCAGCCAAAAAAGCAATTTGCAGGTCTCGGCAGAATCCGAGGCTGTGTGTAAGAAAGCTGATCAAGACACTACAGAGGAGATAATGGGGTCGAAGAGCAGAAGGATCCCTCAGATTTTGCAACCAGCATAATCTGGTCTCCAGTGAAGTTTCTTAGTTTCTTTTGCTGAACCAGTAAAGCTTAGCGTGATGGGAGAGTTGCATTACTGCAGCTTAAAAATGTTTTCAGGAAAGCTGATGAGGAGAGTTGCTTTTAGTTGCTTTGCAGATGCCCAGCTGCTTGCGTAGCTATCACCTGACTGGTTGTGTGAAGACAAAGGCATAGGGAAAATCTGAGATTTTTCTTTAGTTATTTATGTTCTCATCAGTAATAATGGGCTTTTTATGGCTGGAGCGTAGTATTTGTTTTATCAAAGCCGAGTGAGATTTTACACTTGGGTGTATAACAAATTGCATGCTGCACAAAAGCATTCACATTTTCATTCTCACAACTACACCGCTGTCATATCTGAAAGCCACCCTTGAGTAAAACACTACTTGAGTTAAACATGACTACATCCATGGAGGAGGAAAAGCCATGCAAATGAGAAGAATCCCCCCCTGAGGGATTCCCAGCTGGCCTGGGAGGAGAGGTTTAGTTTATTTTCTCTGTTTGACTCATTCTTGCTGAATGCAACCCTCCCTTGGACTTTACCAGACACTTGGCAGTTTGCAGACTGCAGGACGAGCAGCGAGTCGGCAAGCCAAAATAGGACAAGATGGCCTCCAGATTTCCAGTTCCACTGCCTTGGGAATGGATTGCCTTTGCACACGCCTACATCAGCAGAGATTAATGATGAGTGAAGAAACCGGGACTAGCAAAAACAAACCAAAAAAAAGAACAAAAAACCCTATCTGTATTTTCTGTAACACATACCTGGTGTTTTCCTCCGTGAAGCTCCTTTGCAACTCGGATGTGAGTGATGGAAGTGGTGTGGGGACAGGGTTTAACTGAAAAATCACAGAAAATCAGTGCTGCCTTTTGGGTCTGACATCCTCCTCTCCCAACATCCACCCGACTGCCTGCTGCAGTGCCAGGCTCCCGCTACATGCGTTGTACATCCCCAGCCTGTCCTGTTTAACACAACTTTAATTCCTGCAAAAAACACCAGCTTTACACTGTGTCTTTGAATGACAGGATGGTACTAGAGCGACTGCACGGCCAAATAGCGATCCTAGTGACACTCAGTCAACAAACATACTGGCATCTGATAAAAAAGGAGCTACAGTTTGTAGCTAGGCAGTTACACAGGCTGCTGTGTACTTGAAAAGATAGAAAACAAACAGAAGAGCTTTGCTCTGCTATGCAATGTCTCCCCAACTCTTCAGCCCTTGCTCCTTCCCCTTCTACCACTGTGTTTTGTTTTCAAAGACCCACCAGCCACAGACAGGCAGAGGACACCGAGCGTAAGCCTGGAGTGGATGGCCATGCCGCCTCCCTGATGGGGAAACCCTTTTCCAGCAGCCAGGAAGGTAAGCAAACAAGTTTCTTTCAAATATACACAAAGGGATGAAGCTAGAAATAATGGTGATTGATATCTTGAGAAAGAATTTGGATGTAGGAATTAAAGTAAGATGGTGGTATTGCAGCGTGAGTTTGGTTTGTGTATACCTAGCAGGGAGAGGCATAAGGACTCAGCTGCCAGCTCTCACAACATAGAATATGTCAACTGATCATTGGAATCTCCTTATCTTGCAATGCAATTCACATTTTGACAAAGACAGGGAAAACGTTTATTAGTTTTGGTCATCGTTGCTCTGTTATTCAGTACGCAACAGCCAGCAGCGGAGCCTTACCAGTTACACGGCTTGTGGAACAGTGTTTTACACTACTTCTGCAAAGGGTTCTGGAGCAAACAGACATGTCTGTTCTGCTTTGGCAGACTTTGGTGTCTCCACTGTAGCAGAGATGAAGTAGTGCAACAGTATAATAGAGTAGTCCAGCAAGAGAAAGTCATGGTTAAAGAGTTGTCCTGTGAAGTCAGCCGGGCAGGTATATGTAAGAGTATTTGCGTAAGGAGTGAGATGAGGATTTTTATCTTCTGCCTTGTCCAGGTGTCCCATCACTGTACTGACAGGTATGTGGGAACTGAGCCAGTCTCCAGGCACACTGACATGGAAAGTCGAGGCATAACTGCGAATCCTATAGGCACAACTGAAATAGATAGTTTCAAACAAACCAGCTACAGGTGTGCTTCCACGTTACAGTGAAGCTGAACTAGCAACTTGCCGCCATCGAAACGGAAAGGTCCTGCTTCCCCCTTACCACCTTCTTTCACCCACATTCATGGGATCACACAGGGGGCTGCCACCATATTAATCCAACCAAAAAAAGATTGTTTTCTTTCCTGTCGGCTTTTGCCCATCCTCTGAACAAAACTGCTTTGCCTGGAGACCAGAGAACACCACAGGCAGCACCAAGTGAGGGGCAGAAGCACGTTGCCTGCAGCAGGACTTTTTTTTGATGTTGGCAGCTGTTAATTCGGCTCAAGCTGTAACACGAAGCCTCATCCTCAAGCACCTCCAGCAGCAACCTGACAGCACATGGGCTGAAAAGCCCGCCCAGGACACAAGACGAGCACTCAGACAGGCAGCTCCACCACCCCACAGCTACCTGGCTGCAGGTAGAGAGGTGTGCTGCAGGCACAGCTCTGTCTCAGTGTGTGCATCCCACTCCTGCAACAGCTCCCCACCGAGCTGGGATGATGCAGGAACCCCGCTCCATCGCTGGCCTCATGTCTCCACGCTGACCTATCCACAAAAATCACTTTTGCTTTAACTCAGTGTAGTGTTTGAGGGAATATTCGTATCCCACATGTATGGACTTGTATAAACAATATATTAAAAACTGCAATTCATCCATTGAATAACAGGATATAAAATAGCTGCGTCCTATCATAAAAGTGAAAGAGTTACCTAATACCATACCCGTGTGTGTTTGGGTTTTTCAGCGAGTTACCTGGAATGTAAATAACATGGTGATCTTTCTTTCTTGCAGGAAATTTGAGAGCAGTTCCTCCAGAGCAGGTAACCTGTTTCTGATTTATTTTTTTATTTCTGCTTATTATTATTTACTCTATTTTGCAGCTTCCTGAAACTCCCCGAGCCTGTCCCTGCAAGCTGTCTGCCTGCAGGGCTCTTGCTGAAATTGGTAGAAATGCTTGTATACCGCACTGCTAGAGCGGGGCTTCGTCTGCAGCTTTGAGCTGAGCGCAGCGCATAAAGCTTGAAAATTATTATTATCTGATGCCTGTTGGATAGGACCTAAGAAAGAACTTATTGTCCTCCATCAATGTTCATCTTTCTTACACAAGCTAGCCGGCGCTCGTATTGACGCTTTCAAGCGTGAGACCACAGTAAAGAGGGGTGAAATACTACCCTATGGTTTCATGATTGCTTTAAGCTGATTTTAAGGTGCTGCCAAAAAAGGTGGACCATCCCTTCCCTCACCACCAGCCTCCAGTCCTATGTCCTCCTCCCTCTTCCGCACTGGCTGGGGTGCTCGCACACTTCCAGCATGCAAGAAGCTCACCAGAGCAGGAGGAGAGAAGACTTCAGTATGGGGTTTTAGACCCTACCTTTTCCTCCAAATCTATCAGCTATCCCCCATCTTTGTGGGGTTATTACCTCCTGTCCTGGTTTGGTGCCCCAGGTGGTTGGGTATTGGTGGGGGTGCGTATAGAGTACATACATAGGGCGAGCCTGTCTCCAAAG